ACCTTAAAATATTCAAGTTTTATTGATCATCAAACTTGTGCAGTGTTTTGACCTTACGGTAGAATTCAATCCTGGCTTCTAGATTCTTTATTTAAAGACATAATCTGCTTCTAACTTTTTCTTTGAGTAATTTACTATTTGGGTTTCAGTGCTTGTGTAATAGAGGTTCGCTTGTCAAAGGAGTTCCTTTTCCAACACCAAGATTTTGAGTATGAGTACCTCAACTTAAATTCATTATTTTTAAACATGTTTCTCATCAGAAAAAAATTTTTTGTGAGGAAAACAAAGTTTAAAGAAAATTTTCAGAAAGCAACTCATAACTGTTAATCAAGAAATTCACCAACTCCACGAACATGGGATGGGCGTTAATGAGCCGAACAGTGAGTTTCGAATGTCACGTAGAAGACCTTCAAAATAGAGTGAGCACTTCGATGTCAAAGTCAGTGAAAGTCCGAACTAAATCGAGAGAGAATCGAAATGTTCGGGTACCTCTAAATGAACGAAATGGTTCTATTTACAGGCGAAGACCCCGACAACGTTCCCGACAAGACCTCTAACGACTCTTTAAGGTTACCGTAAAACGCGGCGTGTTGTCGTGGAGTGTGTTGGAGATGTGACCGAGCTGAGGTAAGCAAATCGGTTCAACCAATGAAATGGGAACGAGATCATAAGGAAGCTTGTTCGGCTCGGTCGCCGAAAGGCTTCGGCTCGGTCAAATGGATGAGCCGAGATGTGCATACTTGGGTTAATCCTCTCCAGGATCTATGAGCCACGTGTCACCTTCCATGCCCAGTCATCTTCTGCCAATGTACCTCCAACCAAAGCTATTACAATAAAATTTTCAAACTTTCAATACCAGAAATACAACCTCCAACCTACCCAGAATTGTTGAAATTAAATCTTACATTTTTTTTTAGAATATTACATACAAATGGGAGCTTAAATGCAAAAATTTCACAAGATTAGAGTGGTTATTGTAATTTTATTTTTAATTAAATATATAATACAAATTATTTCTAGAAAAATTTACTTTTTTCTCATTTGAGTTTCACTAATACATTAGTCACTGAGTTTTCAAAACATGCACTTTAGCCAATGAGTTTCAAGGAATAGGTCAATTTTGTCCCTCCACTATAAATCCAAGCCCCCTAGACTTTCATTAACTAATATGACAAATTTATTGGACTTTTAAATATGCTTACTTGGCAATTGAGTTAGCATAATATATATTGGAAAATTGACCATTCTGACCCGAAATATTTTGAGTTTACAAAACAAACCTAACATTTGAAATATGAAAACACTTTTTAGAAAAATCAAGGAATATGCAATTTACAGTTATGCCCCTGATTGCCTTTTCATTTTTCCTTTATCTTCTCTTATTTTATTTATCTTCTTCTTCTGCAGTCCCTCTTCCTTTACTCTTGTTTTCGATCTTGGTTGTTTGCTTTCGATTTTGTGGCGATTTTGGTCGTTGTCACTCACCATCTTTGAAAAAATGAAAACTCTCCATAAGAGAGTTATTTTAGGTGAAAAGTGTCTTGGGTAGAGACGTTTTTGAATGATGTAGCTCTATTTAGAAATGTTTCACAACTATAAATTGAATATTTGGGGGTTAATCATATTCTGTGCTAATGTGGGAATTTATAAGAAAATGTACTCATTTAAGATGGTTTGTTTCTCTGATGCTAGAGTATTTGAGCTACCACTAAAAGTGAGCTTTTTGCCTGAAGAAATATTTTAGTAAAAGTTAAATCGCCTAATTTTCACTGGACCCAATATGCGCTTGAGTTGTTGCCTTGAAATTAAGGAGGGTTGCTATAAATGCTTGAAGAGGAGGCTGCCTCAATTATTCATCAATCTCGAGAGAAGTATGAGGTCGAAAAGAGGTGAAGATTCCTTCTATTTTGGAGAGTGACCCAAGGAAGACGACAACAGTGGGGCTAGAGCAGTTGACTTAGTGCATAATACCTTGTTTCTCATTCTTTTCTTCCCCCATTTTATCTAATTTGAAATGGGTTTTGTATTTTCATCTTATTGTTGAGCTAAACTCATGGATGGGTTATGAACCTTTGTTTACAAGCAAAGATTGATTTTTTAGCTTATGAATTTGTTTTGCTTTATTAAAGTTGTGTTTATTTTCTAAAAGTTCAAGATGAATGATCACCATGTTTGAACTAGCACCTTGTTAGCCTTCAAAAGATTGTAATAGGTGGGGAAGGCTTTAATCTATATTAGTTCCATCTTTTAGCATGGAGCATGGGTACTTAGAGATAAGCCTCGCATAATAAAGTTCTTAATCTAGACGGGAGTTTGGTTTATGAAAAATCTGGATAATCTAAAAAGATATCATGTATGTTTGCTAGCAGCTACAACAAATTCATTGCTAGAACATCGATTAATAACTTAAGGGATCGAATCCCACAGCGGAAGCATGCGAACGCAATACTTTGATTTTTCCTTTTGAAAAATACAGATAAAAAGAGAATAAACACTAAAGGTGAAAGAATTACCTTGAAGAACCTCTGTAGAAACATAGCAATCAACTCCTCCAACAGATCTTCCCAGTTATTCTTTGGCAAGGATCGATTATGTGGGAACCTTTTGAAAGCAAAGTTTCTCATGGAGAATTTTTACACCCTGTAGTAAATGGAAGAGCTTTTTTTTAGAGAGAGAGGAAGCCAATTTTTTTTCGAACACAAAGTGTTTCTACATTTAACAATGGGGAGTTCTCCCCACCTCGTCACTTCTCCCACCTCCCTTAAAAAATGTAGAGGAGTTATTTAATTAAATTAAACTAAAAATAATATTTATTTATTAATTAAATAATAATTAAATTAAATAATATTTATTAATGAAATATTTATTAAATTAAATAATTAATAAATAATATTGGTTAATTAATTAACCTTAATTAAATACCATATATTTAATTAAACACCTTTATTTTGAATCGAATTCAAATACATCTCTCCCTTAAAACCTATAGTTTTACTTTGAATCATATTCAAATAAATTTTCACCTATAGTTTTAATATGAATTCAATTCGCATTAATTATTATTTTGAATCTTATTCAAATATATCTTTCATATTATAGGGTTTAATTTCAAATCTTATTCAAAATTATAATGTATCTATATACACATTGTTACATTCCCTTATATAATTTAAACACTTCAAATTCTTTAAAAAACTCTTGATCCTCATTGTATTGAGCGAGTAAGGGGACCTAATGGACCTACAAATTATAAGCTTCAATGACCTGAGATTAATTAATTAAACTCATTAATTAAATTAATCAACATTCATTAACTATGGACACTCTACTAAAGAATCATAGTTGCACTCGTGTACATTATAGAACATGTTGCTTTCATGGATATAACCATTACAAGTAAGTCAATCCTTCACAAATCATCTATAATTACAGCTAGGTCAAATTACCGTTTTACCCTTGTAATTAACTTATCACTCCTCCAGTATCACTGATCCTATAATGAACAATCTGTTTATGGTCCAACTATAAACTAAATTCTTTTCAGGTCAATGAGAGGGTGGAACCCCAATGTTCAACATCGGAGTCAACACTTAAGGGAACAACTCATCTACTTTCCCTAAATAGGGCAATGAGTGAATTCTATCTTTCGTAGCTATGTTTTCAGCTTCCCACTCAGTCTCGTCCCAAAATGGAAGGCTTATTGAGTCGCAACTCATGCGACTCTCACTTATACAAATTAAAAGACGATCCCTCATAGGCAGGAGTCCATAACTCGCTCAGAATTAAGATCGTGTTACATATGGTTACCCTATGAAATATTAATCTCGTCAACCAACAGTGTTACAGAGTGAGATTAATTATTTCGCGGTCTAGTCTTATACAAATTCATTGTATAGGATACCTCATTCACATGTCTTCACATGAACGATTTGCATCAAATCATTTGTAACTATTACAAAGTAGGTTGTATCCATAGTTTCACTTTGATAAGGTACCCAACATTATCTATATACTATAGATTTTTTAGGTTATTACTAGAATATGATCCACCTGTATGTCGACCACATACTGTTCAARTTACACCAAATAACCTTGGATGTTTGTTTATTGGATTTTGAGTTATGCAAATAAAATAACTATTATTTTATTGAATAAATAATTTGTGCACAATACAAACCACGAGTTTATGGCACAAAACCCAAGATATTATAGCAAATGAGACACAACTCCTGCCTTTTTACATGTGGTTGATAATCTATTTTCTAGTCGTTCTTTATTTATGTTAGTATAAGCAGTTTCATAATCATTCGCACTTTAGTTTATAATCAAAAATACAATTATCGGTTACCACTTATTGAGTAAAAGTTGGAGTATTTTAGTTACTCAATCCTTATAAATACGATCTTGCAATTGCTATACACTTACACTAGAGTTCTAAAATCATTAACAAATATGTTCTAGTTCGTGCAAGTAGAGGTTGCATGCTAGTGTGGTTGAGTTATACAAGACTATTTAAGTTAAGTCATTCTTCTTCTTCTTCTTCTTTTTTTCTTTTTTTTTTTAACTACAAAATTAAGTTATTCTTTAACAAACGTACATGCCATTATTGTAATATGTACCACATAATTACTGTAATATTTGTAATAAATAAGAATCGAATATTAGACATTTTTAAAGTTGGATGTAATTTAACTAAGTATTATTTTGGTCTATGTACTTTATTTTTGGTTCATTTTGATTTATATATTTTCAACTTTAATTTGTTTTGGTCTCTATACTTTTAAAATGTTCGTTTCAATCTATATATTTTTAAARGTGACTATTTTAGTCTTTAATTGTAAAATTTTAATATAAATTCTACACTTAATGAAAATCATTTAATACAAAATCGAAAATAAAATTGAAGAACTGAGATTCTTACTTTTTAAAATACGGACTGAAATAAATATTTTAAAACCAGGAATAAAATAAATCAAAATATTTCAACCTTAATTTTTTAAACTAAGAGCTCGCAATTTTCCAACCGATTCTGCCTTCTGCTGCTAGCGGAAGACGTAGCACGATTCCTGGCCACCGATCAAAGCCCATTTTTCTTCAATCCTACTCTTCTTCACCATAATTGCCGAAATCTGGAACTGTAATTTAAGAGATCCATATGAATCTCCCGCAGTTCATGTGGATCTTCACATTCGGAAGAATCGTTGGTCACAGAAATTGATACTTGAAAAGTTATGCTCAGCAGAAGGCGTTTCGCGGAGTTCATAATCGGTTTCAATTCGGAAACCTGGAGAAGGAGAAGCCGACGGTTGTCGAGCAATTCCGGGAAGAGGTTTGCCGCGGTGTGGGGGAATGGCGATTTCGGGAGGCTCGGCCTTGGGACTTTGGATTCTCAATGGAGACCTGTTGCGTGTTCTGCCTTTGAACACGAAACACTCAAGGATATTGCGTGTGGTGGCGCTCACACTCTGTTCTTAACAGGTCCTAAACTTCCTTTCTTCGGATCTTTGCAATTTTGAATTTTCCTTTTTGAGATTGACCATGGGATGGGAATGAAAGTGGTTATATTAAGGTTCATAATGTTGTCATTTCATTTCGTTCTCCTGCTGCCCAAGCTCGTTATATATACTCCCGTTCCATTTTTGTTTTTGTTTTGAGCTTCTTGATTTTGACAATGTTATGTATCTATTTGGTGAATTGTGAAGATGTCAGCTGTGTTCGAGTAAAGGCTCACGAATTGTCCCCCTCCTTTGGCAGAATCTGGACGTGTTTATGCTACTGGTCTTAATAATTTTGGGCAGCTGGGCATATCAGATGACAAAAGCTATTCTACGGTATGATATCTCACACTTCAATCGTCATTATCTACATGTGATAGTTTTTGGTAGCTAAATTTTGTCCACTCTGAAGCAATGATTGATCCTGTAGTTTTTGTCTGAGCTTTATCTTTGTATCCTTTTTCTTCTGTGGAGTTATTTTATTGCCCCTTTCATGTTTCCGGGTCTTTCTTGTATATGTATATATTTTTATAAAGACACGTTGATTATCAGCATGGCATTTTAATGCAGGAGCCTGTTGAGGTTAAAATTCAGAAAGAAGCTGTGCATATCTCAGCTGGTTATAATCACTCCTGTGTTGTTACAGGTTTGCTTCGTAGTCCATTTGATCTGAGTGATGATTACAATGAAAGCATTAACTTCGTTTAGAAGTAATATGTATTAGTTAGCTAAAGCTCCTTGGCAGTAACTTGTTGAAGATGTTAGAACAAAAATGAATTAACTTTATTGAATAGGAAGAATTATCGTAATTTAACTCTTTGTTGGGTAGTTTAGTTGAAAGGAACGCTTCTATTTTTCAGATATATATTAAGATTTGGAATTGCTCAGTATTTTTCTCTTTTATAGGTCCAGGAAGGTAAAACATATGGATTTTGAAAACACACTTGAATTTGCGTACTTGAGATGGCTTTTTGTTATTTTCTTTTTTCTCTGATGAAGATATGGATATCTCATCTTCTTCCTCTTGTAATTTCTCTCATTAAACAATTTTGTTATCTTTCAAGAATTAAGAAAAAAAGAGAAAACTATTTGTCTTCTTCCACTTGAAGTAATAATAAGGAATGAGTTTTTGAGTGATGGTGCCTATTTTCTTCTATGTTTCTTCAAATTCCTTGCGAATTATTAGTCTGTATTAAACCTTTATCGTTTAAGTTCAAGTTCAATGTTATGCTACCTTAAGCATATAGCATTAACCATTTGCCTCTATCTTTATCTTCCATGAAAAATAAGTTATGCACATTATTTATGCTTCTAGCCATCTAACTTGTGATTTGAAGATTTTGTTCAGAAAATGTGCTAGATTGTGAGTGATATCTAACTTTATTCAAGTTAAACTATACTACTAAAAATTTTTTTTTAGATAAGAAACAATTTCATTGATAGGTGAAATTACAGAAGGGGAAAGAAAATCCCACAAAAGACCAGTGGAGTTACAGAAAACACCTCCAATTGGTTAAAAGAGAGGTCAAACTATATGAGTGAAAATAAGGGGACGATTTACACCAAGACATAGCAGTAAAAAGAATGCTATTAAAAGAGTGTTGAAAGGTAGCTCTTTATCTAGGAAGAGCCTATGATTCCTTTCATTCCAAAAAATCCATAGAAAGGCACGAATGAGATGCTTCCAATAGTTTCCTTTGCTTTCTTGAAGGGGTGTCCCACAAGGACAAGTGAGATGAGGTCGAGGATATCAAGAGGCAAGGCGATTGATCAATCGAAAGCTAGAAGGATCTTATTCCAAAAAAGTCGGGCCAAGTTGCATGTGTGGAAGAGGTGGGAGGGAGATTCCCCATCTGTTTTGCAGAGGATGCACCAAGACGGTGAGAGAGAGATGAAAGGCAGCCTCCTTTGCAATCTGTCGGCTGTATTGATACCTTTATGGGGGAGTTCCCATATGAAGAATTTTGTTCCTTTTGGGTAGGTGTCACCCCAAATGGCTTTGGTAATTGGCTAGGGAAGATAAGATTCCTTTGGGGCAATGTCGGAGAGCAGAGATTTGGTGGAGAAAGTACCTTTACTGTCCAATGGCCAATTCCATGTATCTTCACCAGTATGGAGGTAAGTGATTTCAAGCTTGCTTGATAGCAAAGCCCAATAACTTATTTCTTCATCCTTAAGTAGTCTTCTATAACCCATGTCCCAAAAACGAAGATTTGAATTCCAAATCTGTTTGACAGAAGCTGTTTTTCGGAGGGAAAGGGCATAAAGGCGGGGGAAGGTTGAAGCCAATGTTGAATCAAAAAKCCACTGATCGTACCAAAAGGATGTAGAAGCTCTGTCTCTGACTTGGATGGAGGTTCTTTCATAAATGAGGTGTCTCTGTTTGTAGATGTTCCTCCATGTTCCGTGAGCAAAGTTGATGGCTTTGGAGCCCGGCTTGGTGTTAAAAGCTTCTGTTGTATACTTTGCTTCTATGGCTCTTCTCCAAAGGGCTGTTTTCTCTGTATGGAATCTCAAAATCCATTTAGCAACGGTTCTTGTCACGCATTTTGTGAAGGCCGAGGCCTCCTTGATCAATAGGGAACCAAGTGCATGGAAGATGAATCATCACTGCCTCTCCAAAGAAAATTCCTGTACACCTTCTCAATGGCCATGGCAACCCTATTTGGCAAAGCAAAAAGAGAAAGATAGTAAGTAGGTAAGTTGGAGAGTGTAGCTTGAATCAATGTGTGACGACCCCCTTTTGAAACATAGGTATTTTGCCACGAATGAAGTCTCCTTTCTATCTTCTCGAGCATGGGAGTCCAAAATGCCATAGAGTTCGGGTTAGCGTTGAGGGGAAGGCCCAAGTAGGAGTTTGGCCAATTACTTACTTTACATCCGGGTGATTCAGCAATGGAAAGGATCCGGTCCCTTTCCAAATTGATGCCAAGAACCTCCGATTTGGAAAGGTTTATGTTTAACCCTGATGATTTCTCAAATGTCTTGACAATATGGAAGAGGTTTTTGATGGCCTCATCATCATCTATGGAGAAGAGAATAGTATCATCGGCAAATTGAAGATGATGTATATGGAGAGGCTCACTTCCCATCATGGCACCCTTAATTAACCCCATGTCAGCGGCTTGTGTAAGGAGACGGCTGAGACAGTCAACCACCAAAATGAAGAGGAAGTTTGATCACTACCCCTTTATGCTTTTTCCTTTTCCACTCTTCTATGACTTCGTTGGCTATTAGGGATGTATCAAGGATTTGTCTCCCTTCAACAAAAGCCGATTGTTGCTCCGATATGGTGGATGGGAGGACTTGCTTGAGTCTAGAAGAGAGGACCCGAGCCACAATTTTGTATAAGCAAGTAGTGAGGCTGATGGGTCTGTAGTCGCCCACTGAACAAGCATCCAACTTCTTTGGGATGAGACAAATAAAAGTTTCGTTGAGGCTAGCATTGATAACTCCATTCACAAAAAAGTCTTGGAACACTCTCATAATATCGGGCTTGAGAATGTTCCAAAATTTTTTAAAGAATTCAGCGGTGTAGCCATCGGGGCCCGAAGATCTGTTGGTGCCTAGATCACAAATGGCAGTCCAAACTTCAAGTTCAGTAAATGCCTCTTCAGCAAATGTTTTTGATGTGCATCGATGGGATCCCATGACAAGGAAGGAGGGAGAGTTCTGCAATCAGCTTCTTTAGTGTAGAGCTGTGAGAAGAAAGAAAGAAACTCGTTAACAATATCAATTTCAGAGAAAAGGCTGGTCCCCTGTCTAGTAATACTACTAAAATGAAGTAAAATATTTTTTTTTCTAATAATAGAATTGAAAAAAGACAAAAAAGGTGATGAGAAATCAACCCGAAGGTGAGAGATTAAAAACAATTCTCCCAATGGATTAATATAAGAAAGAACTATAGTACAAGAAATTTAATGCGAAGAAGCTTTAAATGGAGGCCTTCAAAAACTATGGTCCCAAACCTCCTTGGTTTTTAATTYTGCATGGAAAATTCTTTGGTTTCTACTTTCTATCTCGCTGGACTTTTCAAAGAAGTCATCTAATTGCTATATGCTAAAGCGGACGTATAAAATCAAAATCAAAGGAAGTAGAATCCTCCAAATCAAGAATAATAGGGGGTGKTATAGGAAAATTTCAAAGAAGATAAAGAATAAAGATGAGGGAGAAGAATGCAAAGGGTGATCCTCCATTATCCTAACCAACAATCTTCCTATAAACATGGATATGTCGATTTACTAACTTACACCTCAACAAACTTAGAAAAAGAAATATAACCCCAAAAGATGGCTTTTCAAGTATCCCTACACGTGCCTATAGCCCCATGGATTAGTGCCCACTCAGAAGGTCGAGCCCCATATTTGCTCACAGTGATCCTATGCCATAAAGTTTAGACTCTAAAGGGAAATGCCATAGCCAGTGAGCTAGAAGGACCTAATTGCCTCATGGCACATTTTCAGGTTATTGGCTGTATTTTTTTATTGATTTCCAGTTGTAATACGTCTGTAATAGTGCTATAGCATGTGTATTATTTATTTTTTTGTTTAACTCATGTAAATTGAAGAGTTCATTTCTTTTTTTTTTAGGTAATCGTAATTCCTATGTATATATGTATATATCTCTCTCTCAATATATATTTTAAATTGTTCTCTTTTGTATACTTGATTGGAATATTAAAAGAAAATACCAAATATAAAGAATTTACTGTTACAATTAAGCTCTTGCATAACATTCATTGATACCCTTCAGATAAAATCATCTRGGTAATGTAAAATATGCCTTTAAAGCCAAATGGTTTTCTTCTTCCTCCATTTTATTTATTTATTTATTTTTTGGTTGAGTTCAACAAAAAGTGGTGGTGGGATTCGACCGAACTTTTGGTTGAGGATRTATGCCTTAACCACTTGAGTTTTTGATGTAAAGGAGGGATTATATAATTAGTTTTTTCTCAAGCTTTCTTTGTTGATTTTCTATTTTATTTTTTTTTAGCTGATGGAGAGTTGTATATGTGGGGGATGAATTCAAGTGGACAGCTTGGTCTTGGAAAGAGTAAGCACTAGATCCTGAAAATATCTTTCTTGCACTGTATAGTTTTGAAAATCTAGTGACCTCATTTGCAAATTAAAGTTTTTCAAGTAGTGGTTGTTAGACATGAGCAATGAATTAATTATTCAGATGTACCGTTGGAATTTTCCCCTTTTCTTAGTAAATATTAATGATGATAAATTTAACTTGTCCATATATAACCTATCTATAATTATGCCAATGATTATGCTAGCATTATTTTCTGTAATTTTCTTTCTTCTTTCGCTGTTGGTTTTTCCCTTGTGGGAACCTTGTATTGATTTCCTAATATGAAATAGACTACTTTTTATATTTCTCAAAGTTAGTTGGTATCAGGGTAGGCCCTAGCTGCCTAAATCATCATTCATCCATACTGTTCCTCCGGCGAACCCGAGTATGTAGGTTTTTTTGGCAAGGTGGAGGTTTGTTTGCGCGTTCTGACCTAGTTTGTTTGCAGTTCTACTGGCACAGTTGTGGTCACACCTTAGTTTTCCAGATCTGTTCTCACAACTCTTCCTTTGGTGGGRTTCATTTGACACTTACCTTTTTTGTGCCCTAGACCTGTTTGCATCTCGCCATTAGATCTATACGCTATACCTATCTGTCCGTTTTTGTCCCTTGGCATTGTTTGGCATCATTGACTTGTCTAGCTTGCTCCTCGTTCGTTAGTTGTYGCCATTGTTTGCTTTCCTTTGTATGATTGTGGTCTTGTTATATTTGTTTATTTTTTTGAACAAGAAACGAGATTTTTCATTGATTAATGAAAAACCATACAATGCTCAAAGATACAAACCCCAAAAGGAGTGAAAAAGAGATAAAAAGTAGAAAGTAAAATACAGAACCTAAAGAGAAAGAAAAGCTTCCCAATTGCTGTAGATGGTGGATGAAGAATAGCTTGAGAACAAATCCGAGAAGGCACACCATTGGGAGGCTTTAAATTTGGCAAGCTCGAAACATTCGAAACGGTCTTTCTTCTTGTCATGGAAAATACGTTGGTAACCATAACTCTGAAATAATGGCTTTGATAGCATTAACCCAAAGAGATTGGGCCTTCGGGAAGGAGAAAGTATAAAAGAATAGCTGCTGGATGTTGCTTTTGGTGTCGACCGAGAAGACCCAAGATAAATTGAACAGCTGGAAAAGAGCCGACCAGCAGCTTGATGCAAAAGGGCAATGGAAGAAGATATGATCTTGTGTCTCACTGTTAGAATAACAAAGGCAACAGACTGAAGGCTGTAACTGGAAGTTGGCCATCTTTCTTTGCAAAGTATCTGCTGTTTTCAAATGCCCATTTAGGATAATCCAAGAAAGAATATTAACCTTTTTTGGGCAAGAAGATTTCCACAGACCCGAGAATAAAGCCTTTGGAAGAGGGGTCCCTTTTGTAAGATGGGAGTATAAGGAGTTTACTGAAAAATTCTTTGAGGCCTCAAGATTCAAAAGTAGTTTATCTTCCCCCACAGTAATGGACACTGATCTCAAATGAGATAGTAAAGCTACAAGTTCATCAAACTCAGAATCTTTGAGACCTCTTCTAGTTTTGATGTYCCAAGAGGAGGATGAAGAGTCCCAATTTTCCCATGAGGATAATGTGGATAAGATCTAGGCAATTAGTCATAGTCTTTGAGCTGACTCTGAAACTAGGATAAATTTGAGCAAGCCTTACAGTCTCTAAATGTTGAAATTTTGAAGAGTATTTGGTAGGACCTTGATCTTTTCAGTACATATGAGTGGACTCACCTAAAAATTTACCATCATCCTAAGAAAGCAGTAGAGGATGAGAATGATCACATCTACAAGTTTCTTACTAGTCTGAATATATAATTATGTTACAACTAAGTAATTTTCTTTTCTATTTCTATTTTGTAGTTGGTCTTTCTCTTAGTATTACTTTCATTACATTACATGGAATGTGATACTATTTTATCCTCACAAACTTGGTTGTACTGCTGTATTACAGGATCAGCAAAAGCGGTACACCTACCTACTAAAGTAGATAGCTTAGACGGCATTGTAATTAAGAGGGCTGCTTTAGGTTCAGATCATTCAATGGCTGTTACTGGTATRAATATCCTACCACATTTTATACACGTAGTTTTACCATTTTCATGTTTTGTCAATAAACTTGTAATTTATTATTTTATCTCTCTTAATGTTCCTTTTATATTCTTCACTAGATGGAGGTGAAGTCTTAAGTTGGGGAGATGGGCGGTCAGGAAGATTGGGTCATGGCCATGAGTCAACTCTTTTGGGGTTTCTGAAAAGCACCAGGTACTGTTAGGTTCATACTGATCTGCGATCCCTTTCCCTTCCCCCGCTGGAAAAAAAGAAAAAAAAAAGAAGAAATTGGCATTTCCACTTCTAATGACTCTGTTTGTATTGCTCTTGTTGAGCTTGTTTTTCATTTCTTTTTGTCTTTTTTTATTTCTTTCACCCTTTTGTGGGTTTTGATCCCAGAAGAATTTCTTTTTTCGTATATCAATAAAGAGTCATTTCTTGTTAAAAAAAATGTTGGATATAACAAGTGCAAGGATGAAAATACCAAGAATTATTCTTAATAAGGATGTCTAAATAATAAAGAAAGAATAAAATGCAGATGTAACAAATAACTTACAGTAGAGGGCCAATACGTGATTGAATAGAGAGGAAGAAAGTTTTCTCGAAGTTTTGCGATTAGATATCATGTGTATGTGTCTTGGATCTAAAAGTACCGTATAAGATTGGTTACATATAGGTGTAGAATTTAAAGAAACAAGATTGGCCTTTGCTCATGTGTTAGCATACAGTTTTGTTTTCAGAAGGAAAACAAAAACAATTGAAGAGATTTTAGTTTACTGTTTACATATTTCAGAATTATTTGAAAGTTCTTCAATCAAATTTGATAATAAAGACTTATTTTAAAGTAAACATATTGAAATAATTTTTTATACAAAAATAGTTTTATTTTATTTTTTATTTTTTAAATGAGAAACACATATTTTATTGATATTATGAAATATACAAAAATGGATAAACCCATAAGGCATAAACACATATTTCATTGATATGATAAAATATACAAAATTAGTTAGAACACCCAATGAAATAATAATGCTGGTATTGAATTAGATATGCCGTATTCTAGATGGATGTGTATCTATATTATGTCATATTGCGTCATAGTGTTCTTTGTTTCTTGTGTTCTTATGAGTTGTATATTGGTGTAGTGAATATACACCCAGGCTAATTAAAGAACTTGATGGGATTAAGGTAATGTTTCCATAGTGAGCCTCCATTCATCCTCCTTAGGTTGTCAATTCTTTTTTATTCAACCTTTTCTTTTACAGGTTAAACAAATTGCTGCTGGGATGCTGCATTCGGCATGTGTAGATGGTTGTCTCCATTTCTTTCTTTTTTTCTTTTAATGGTAAATGTCTGTTTCGATGTTGCTTCTGTTGGCACACAGTGTTACTTATGCTCAACAAATTTAGCAGAAAATGGAGCTGTTTTCATATTTGGTGAGAGGGCAATGAACAGAGTGGCAAGTTCCAACTTCATATTCAAATCGATTTTATTATCCTGTAAAGCTACCTTTGTATGATAAATATACCTTCATTTAAATTCTCAATGGTATGATATAGGGCTTTGATGAGGCAAACAAGGCAACAATACCATCTATTATCAGCACACTCTTGAACTGCGAAGAAGTTGCCTGTGGTGGTTATCACACGTGTGTCCTGACAAGTAACTTTATCCTTTTTTCATTGTTTTAGAATTTTTATTTTTCCTTGATTATGTAATTAATAAAACTCGGAAATTAGATTGTTCTAATTTTCACAATGGGCTGCTCATCCTTTCTTTTAATGATGGATGACTCTATATGATTGTTACACCATATATAAAAGAAGTTATTTGAGATTCTGATCACCGTTGTCTTCGTTTTTTGGTTTCTTGTTACAGAAGCTGGAGACCTGTACAGTTGGGGTTCAAATGAGAATGGTTGTCTTGGTAATGGGTATGCCTCACTTGAATAATATTTTGTAGTTTGGACCTCTTTTCTACTTTAAGGTTCATCAGTTAAAATATAGTGTTCATGATATCGGGTTATTCAGGTCCACAAATGTCTTTGATCTCCCTGAAAGAGTCGAAGGTCCTTTTTCGAGGTCCCCTGTAAGCAAGGTTGGAGTTTTACGTTCTTCCACTAGAACTGCTTGAATGATTTGATCCTTTATTTTCCTTGTGGAGACAACTTCATTTTTTTTCTAGTTTGGAAGCTACCTCTTAATAGCTTTCTAGCTTAAATAAATTAGGATCTGAAAAGGGCAAAATGAAGAAAAGAATTACACATAATATATATGAGCAGCACGACATTGCCATTTTTTTAAAGAAAAACATAAAAATAAATCAGACTTATGTGATATTTTTTTATTCATTTTTGTTCAATATGTTTGATTAACATATTCTACAGGTATCTTGTGGTTGGAAACACACTGCAGCAATCTCAGGTAAGAATTTTTAAATTCCGAAAATATAAATTTAAGATTCAAAGTTATTATTTCTTGAAGACTTCCATATTAGGTGAAGATTCTTTTGTCTTTGTAGAGGAAAATGATGTAAAAACAAATGAAAATAATTACTTGATTGGAACAAGTCTCAAATTTCACAGCGAGTCTAAACAAAAACCATATGGTTAAACATAATACCAATTAATGTTGTGTAAATTGTTATATGGACRTCAAAAATTGAATCATTGCTATTTCATGTGGTTAAGGATCCCACGTTGAAAAGATTAAGAGACCTAATAAAGGTATTTATAATATACATGAGCTACTCCTCTTAGTACTAATTAGTTTTGAGATGGAACCCTACGGATATTGATATGGTATTAGATCCAATAAGTTCAAACGAGCATCACGGTAAAAAAAAAAAAAAAAAGGATCCGGCCAAGATTTGTGAGCCCAAAAGAACCAACATGTTGAGGAGGCATGTTAAGGATCCCACATTGAAACGATAGACCTAATAAAAGTTTATAATACACATAGGCTACTCCTCTCATTACTTATTGGTTTTAAAATGGGACGCCATAGATATTTACATGTAAAGCTCTACCCAAAGGCAAAGTTCACTGCTTGCATCTCTATCTAGAATGAATTACCATAGACATTTCATTTCCTAGCAAATTAGACATGGACATATATCAACAGGATACTTTTCGTAAAGAAGATGATATATCTTTATAAATGTTATTATAAGCTTGGTCAAAATCATGATTTTAAGAAATTATTGACGAGCGGGTAAGAGAACTCAATTTGCTCATGTTGCATCCATTCATGATACATGTAAGAAGTCTGTTGTCATTTAGCTGATGATTTCGCTAAAGTTAGACAATGCTAGAAAGAATTTGAAGCGTCACAATAAATTCCATTGCTATTACAACCATTTCTGTGTCAAGTAATTTAAATCACGGCCTCATTTCATTCCCTACCTAATGGGTAATGGACTTTGCTGTTACTAATCATATATCTCAATATCTCTATAGGGCACTTTCTCTCCTCTCTCCCCCTCGCTCACTCTCTATATTACTGCTCTCAGACTATAAAAAAGGTGTATGCCTTCACTGCCTAAGAATTATAAGATGGTTCTATGAAATTCAACTACCTAAGATATGGTGAAGCCATACACTGACTAATAATTATAAGATGGTTCTATGAAATTAAACTACTCCTTAATGCTTGCAACTATGATAGTTTTGCATCTATGATTAAAGCAATTGATTCTCTTTAGTTATTTCTCCATGTCACAACAACATAGGCTTAGTAAATAGGAAGGTACATCAGGGAGGAGTTACTATGTATAGATATTCACCATTGGTACTTTATTTTTTTATAATCAGGATGTCTAGGATCCCATTCCTTACATTATGCTCATGGCCCACCTCATGAATTATTGAAGAAGCCAGCTTCAAAAGACAAGAAGAGTTTGAAGTTATTGAGTTTTTAAACCGAGGGGTTTGAACTTAGGACCTCTTAGGATATCTCCAAAAATCCTTGGCCCGTACTACTGTCCATCCTTTTGTTATTGATAATACACTACTTGAGGGTTGGGTTTCTTGTCTATGCTTCACCTCATACTCAAGGGAGATTGTACATGTGGACTGATGGTATAATTAATCTACTTGTAAATAATACAACCAATTTCTTTTGGTTTTATTCCTCTTTTATATCCTTTTCGTATCCTTTTCTCCTTTGTTTCTCGTTCTATTCTTTGAACTGAATACGTATTGCAGTGATGGGTTTTCTGTAATTTAGAAGAAACAATGCGATTAAGTCCATAAAATTTGATGCTGAATCAAAAGGAACCGAATCTTTGTGCTCAATCCTAATTGGATGAGTTAAAATTGAGTTTGGAAGAACAAAGGATCAAAGCATTTGTAAATGAATTTTATACTTGAAATGCAAGGGGTTGGTTTTAAATGAACCTGCTGAAGATTGCTGCTAAATTCCATCCGAGACACAAATATGTTAATACATTACTAGTGTGCTTTTGTATTTTMTTTTCTTGTAAAAAAGAAAAATAAATCAACGATCCAATTATTTTATTGTTATTGAACCAGGTGGTGCTATATTCACTTGGGGTTGGGGAGGTTCTCACGGAACTTTCTCTGTGGATGGTCATTCGTCTGGGGGTCAGCTGGTACGTTGCTTCTCTTGCTTTTCTATTCTTCTTACTGCTGGATTTGTTAAAAATCGGTCGACATTTGAATGTGATTACTTGAAATCTAGAGTCTTTTTTTTTTTTTAAACCTGCATTTGCATTATGATTTCTTAGAAAATAAGTTCTCATTTGAAGCGATCTGATTACATATGAAAATTCTAAAGACAGGCACAAGAGCACTGGCATTGCTGCATCTCTGCACTGAACATATTTATACGTTATATGGTTAAACAACTACTTCTCTAGTTATTTAGTTCTACTGGATAGAATTCTTTTCTTAAGGCTTACTGTTTAACTGCTGGACTTCTAATAGTTTAGGCCCTGATAACCATTTTGCTTTTTAGTTTTCTGTTTTTGAAAAAAATTATGCTTGTTTTCACCCTTCTTAAAACTACATAGAAAAAAATAAGTTTTTTTGAAAAAATATTTGTTTTTTAGTTTTAAAAATTTGTCTTAGATTTTGCCAACAATTTTAGAAAATAGATGCAAGACAAATAAATAGGTGAAAATAATGTTTTACATGTTTAATATTCAAAAACAGAAAACCAGAATCTAAATAGTTATGAATTTTCAACTGGGCTCTTGTATCTTGAGCTAATGTTTCCTGTTTTAGATCACTCCTACGTAAGGCCCATTTGGTTGCTATTTCAGTATTTTGTATCCAAAATTTCAATTGATAAAGGATGAATCTGTTACTACTACTGTTTTAAACTTCATTGTCTACTTTTTTTTTTAAAAAAGTTAGAGCAATTTTCAAAAGCATGGTTTTTGGTGTCTCAAATATGATTGAGATGCCAAAGGGTTTCGTTTCGAAAAGTCTGAGAATAAAACATAGAAATTATCAGTAAACGATCTCATTTTTTAAGAACAAAATTATTATAAAGTGAGGTCTAAAGTTGTTAGTCATACCCCATATTTCGAACTCAGCGGTCTCCATAAATTCCTACAACAGTTCGTCTTGGACTAATTTTACAACTGTCCTCAAACAGCTTGTGTAGCCATAAGGGTTCTGCTTGAATTGCAGGGACACGGCAGTGATGTTGACTATGTGAAACCTATGATGGTCGACATTGGGGAGAATGTGAAGTCAGTACAAGTCTCCTGTGGGTTCAACCACACCGGTGCCATACTCGAGTACAAGTGAGTTTTGATTTCGAACTTTTGACCATGAGATGATACCCTACATTTCCAGTACAATAGTAATAGGTAGAGGCAGTGCTCATAATTTGCCAGTCCAAAGTCGTCATAATATGTTTCATTCCTATAAATAAAATCTTGAATACATCTACAGCATCCCGAGTCAACGAAGAAAATAACAACTGTAAACTATATACGACATGCTTTACCGGAGTCTAGGAAAATAATTATGAACATGAGAGATGTCTTGAAAATATTTATTCAACATTCAAATTGAACATGACTTCTTTGTCAAAACTGTGGACWTRGATAATGATCTTGCTAATTATTATTATTATTTATTTTACCAAGGTAAATGTGCTTGGATTGTAAAGCAGTCTGTTTATTTAAAAATCAAAGTGAAGAAGAAATGTGAAATAAACCCTTCTATTCAAGAGTATATTTATCATTCCTGTATCCTTTTATATAATACATCCATAATGATATTATGTATATGTGAATGATTTATTTTCTCTATATATTTTTTTAAATTCTTTTTGAAAGAAAAACTTAATCTTAGACAGACCTAAGAAACAAATACTAAGGTCACGTTTGATAACTATTTTGTTTTTTATTTTGATTGGTTTTAAAAATTAAGCTTATAAATACTACTCCATTTATGGGTTTCTTTATTTTGTTACCTATTTTTTGGAAACGGTTTTAAAATGTAAGTCAGAATTTTGAAAACTAGAAAAAAGTAGTTTTTAAAAACTCATTTTTGTTTTTTGAAATAACATTCAAATATGCCTCAAGGAATATGAAGAATATATAAAAGAAATGGGGAGAAATTAAGCAGAAAATGTTGAGAACTGTATGTGATATTAGGTATACATCAACGGAGATTTTGATAAGCATGGTACAAATGGCTCTTTTTATTTATTATTATTATTATTATTATTTTGTAGAATGATATAAATGTGGGAGGGGATATTCAAACTTTTGATAATAAGAAATTAGAAGATTACTGTTGAGTTGTGGTTTGGCTAATGACATGTTTTAATTAGTCTAACCTTTCGACTCTCATTCAGTCCTGACAAGTCAACTGAATATGGGGAGGGAAATTAAGTACCTGTTTAATGTTTCAGTTTCTTGTTTCTCGTTTTTAATTTTATTAAATTTTATTAAGAAAACTAAGTTATTGATCTCATATGTTAGAAAAATTATCATTCTTGGAAACAACAAAAACAAATCTTTTGTTTCTTCTCATTTCTAATTTTTCTAAAATATAAATAAAAACATTATTTTATTAATTCTTGAATCTACGGGTGTTGGGATATGGAATTTCATTTTTCTTATTAAAAAAGGAAACAGAAAATGGAAATGTTACCACAAATCTAAATGAATTGTTTTTCGTAGGATTTTGCTCTATTGATTTTGTTGGCATTGCTCATTCTCAAAGCAATTGGGTTTCGGTTTTAGGTCTAATGAAGATGGGGAGTTTAATGGAGACCAAATCTCAAATAATTTCATGTCGTTTGACAATTATTAGAATATGGAGCTCATTTGCTGGTCGTTTCAATTGGCCACCAGCAAGAAACTTGTAATAATTAGTGGTACATACTAAGAAAGGTGAAGAAGGGTATGAAAGGAACTAAATTGAAATTTTATTAGAAAGAATACCAAAATTTTAAGGATAAAAAGATAAATTTAGCCCTAACATTTCTATATATTGTAATTATTCAAAAAATAAATAATTTAAAAATTAAAAAAAATGTATATATAATATCCATGTAGTTCTTTTATTTTTTTTTAACTTGTCAAGTCAATAATATTTCTTCATCCATTAACTAACAATCAACTTAACTCAGAAAATTTAGAAYCATCAAACTTCACTAAAAGTATCTATAGTAAAACATCAGCAACTAAATAGACATCAAAATCAAATAGGACCAACGGARTATTTTATGTTTTTTTTCATTTATTATGAAATATCCCATCAATATTGAATCAATCAAAGACTAAAATAAATATGTAATTTAACCATATTAAAACCCCACCATAGAGAAATAATCCCACAATGATGGAGTTAAAAGCGGACATAAAACCAATATGCACAAGAAGTGTGTTAAAGACTCCATCCCACTCCCACCCTAGAAGGCATTTTTCATTACAAATCAAAGCGTGTGATAGACTTCCAACTCTTACCGCTCCTCACTCTTCACTCGAGTACTAAATTTTCGTCGACATATCAACATTTTATATGTCCATGAATTCGACATCGACATAAGGGTTGAATCAATATTTCTATAGTATTGCAAAAAACTAAAATCTAAAAAATATCAACAAAATATTAGTAATGTGAACATAATGTTAAGAAAAATACCTGGCTTCTTACCGGTGCTTGGTCTTCACCACCACTAATTAAATATTTGACAATTATGAGAGAGAAATGAAAAAACATAGATTTTTTTTTTWAAAATAATGAGTTGTTCATTTTTCAATGATGGCGAGGACAAAATTTGATCCAAACCGACAAGGAGCCCACTATTTTCGTAATATTAATACAAATAATTTTTAATTTGTTTAAAAATGGTGAATGTTTATTTGTTAATTTAAATAGTTTTATGATTTTRTTTTTATATTGTTTAGAAATATCTATTAACATCAACAATTGATCCATATTTTCATTGATATTCCCATAAAATTGAGACATGGACATTTTATCGACATSGATAAACGTTGCTTCTCACACCAACAAAACATTTGTTGTAATGTTTCCATCAAACAATCCCTCTTGTCTCTCTCTCTCTTCTTTTTCTCTTCTCACCAACCAACCAATTATAGAGACTTCCTCAGTTAGCTGAAACCTTACTCTTTATCCCCTCATTTCCAAAGTTGGTTTGCCTAATATCCTTCCTGAATTACTCACCAACCCCTTCAATATTCTCTCGTATTCTCCTCTTTCAAGCAGAATTCAAGAACATAGAACATATTTCCTTTGATCCTTACCCCTTTTTTGTACATTGTTTCCATTGCATGTAACTATGTTGGATTCTTTATGTTCGGTTCGATATCCGATCGTCCTTGTTGCGGTGTTGGCTACGTTGTTCTTCATCGATTTGACGGTTTCGAGCTCGACGCTCTCGCGGCGAGCTCTGCAGCAACAGAAGCTGTTGAATAATGGCTTTAGAATGAGGCTTCATCACGTGGACCATCATGTCAAGAACTTGACAAGATTCGAGCGGCTGCAGCGAGGGGCGGCGCGTGGGAGGAACAGGCTGCAGAGGCTAAATGCCATGGTGTTGGCTGCCGCGGGGGGCGCTGCCGTGGGAGACCAAGTGCAGGCGCCGGTGGTGGCTGGAAACGGCGAGTTTCTTATGAAGTTGGCAATCGGATCTCCGCCGAAAAGCTTCTCGGCGATCATGGACACTGGCAGCGATCTGATATGGACGCAGTGTAAACCTTGTCAGCAGTGTTTCGATCAATCGACACCGATTTTCGACCCAAAAGAATCTTCTTCTTTCTCTAAGCTTTCTTGCTCGAGCGAGCTCTGTGGAGCTCTCCCGACGTCGGCATGCAGCAACGATGGCTGCGAGTATTTATACACGTATGGTGATTATTCCTCCACCCATGGCCTTTTGGGTGCCGAGACCTTCACGTTCGGAGATCCSGGCGAAGATCAGGTTGTTAAATCACTGCTAAATCCGGAAAAAAGAAATAGAGCTTGAGTTAGGATAGATTTGTTATTATTTTTCAATTGCTTTGCTGGTTTCTRCAACTTTCTCATAATCATTTTGTTCTCTATTTTCTATTTTACAAAATAAGCATTAAAATATTATTTTCACCTCTATTTTTTATATAGTCTTTATAAACATTTTTAAAATCTAGGCAAAATTTTAAAAAAGAAAATGAATAATTTTCAAGAACTCATTCGTGTTTCTTAATTAATTGCCTAAAAATTCATAAATATGATTTCAACACTAGTGAAAGACTTATTAATGAAATTGTATTAAAACAAACGTAATATTTTTTAAAACATAAAATTTCCTTTTTAGTTCAAAACTTTCAAAGTCTCCAATTTGTTTAAAGATAACCATTTTAGTTTTCACGTTATTTTGCTATTTCTTTTGATAAGTATTATATCTTTTAGATGTCAAAAGATTATAACACATATTTTTAAGTAAAAGGAATGATATAACTTCAAAGACTGCATGAACATGTTAATATAGGCATATATTTAGATAGATATTTTGAAAATTTAATAACAAAAATATTTTATTTTATTCTAAATATAAATATTTTAAAATAAAATCAGATTTGAACTTAAAATTATTTTGCCAAAGCAACCTCAACGTGTACCTCCAACATGTTGTACTAAAAAAACTTAAAATTATTTTATGGATATTTTTTCAACATCGTATGGGTCGTATTTGAAAATGCAAAGTGATTATGAATATTTTTTTTTAATACAACATCGTGTGGGAAAGAAGATCCGAATTCACGATATTTTGGTTGAAAATAGGTGCCTTRACCCGTTGAACGTAACTCAAGTTGACGTGATTAATTAATACTAACATCTCATTTTTTCTCAATATTTCGTACATATATTCTTAACACAAACAGGTCTCAATCTCGGAGATCGGGTTCGGTTGTGGAGACGACAATGAAGGAGATGGGTTCAGCCAAGGCGCGGGGCTGGTGGGACTGGGGCGCGGGCCCCTATCGTTGGTTTCTCAACTGAAAGAGCAAAAGTTTGCTTATTGCTTAACCCCCATTGATGACTCAAAGCCAAGCTCACTCTTGATGGGATCTCTAGCAAACGTGAAGCCCAAAAAATCACAAGATGAAATCAAAACGACCCCTTTGATCAGAAACCCTTCTCAGCCCTCTTTTTACTATCTTTCTCTTGAAGGGATCTCTGTGGGTGGCTCTCATTTGGCCATTCCACAGCCAACTTTTGAGCTTCGTGATGATGGGAGTGGAGGAGTGATCATAGACTCAGGTACAACAATCACATACATTGACAAAAGTGCTTTTACTCTACTCAAGAAGGAGTTCATTGCTCAGATGAAGCTTCCAGTCGACGACTCTGGCACCGGTGGCCTCGACCTCTGCTTCAAATTGCCCTCCGAGGCAACTCAGGTGCGTTGAGTTACCATTGAAACCTGAACGTTAAAGTTCGTGTTTTCTTTGAAAAATTACTAATTTAGAGCGTGTTTAGTGTATAGATTACTAAGGGGTTTTAACGACTAAAAGTACTTTCTTAAAAGAAAAATCGATAATGTTTGGTAATAAATGAAAAATATGTTTCATAAATCAGATTGATTTAAAACTCTTTAGAAAGAAATACTTGATGGATAACTATGATTTTAAATTAGTATTTGACCGAAAATCGTTTACTACTAAGAGAAAAGTATATATTTGTGATTAGTAGAATAACGTTGTTTGAATGCATATAGTGCAACCAAATAAATTTGTTATATTGTAACAAAATGTAATCAAATGCATGATTAAAAGCATTTATATTAAAAGTAGTTTAACAAGAAACGCGCTTAAACTAAAAGGTATATCAAACCCGCCTCAAATTAATGAGATAGGTATGTTGAATTTGTTTTAACAAGGTGGAGGTTCCGAAGCTGACTTTCCATTTCAAAGACGCCGATCTAGAGCTCCCCGGCGAGAACTACATGATCGGTGATTCYGCGGCCGGGTTGTTATGCTTGGCCATTGGAAGTTCCAGTGGCATGTCTATATTTGGGAATCTTCAGCAGCAAAACTTCATGGTTGTTCATGATCTTCAAGAGGAAACCATTTCGTTTGTGCCTACTCAATGTGATGGAATATAAAAAAGGTTAAAGGAATTTGTTTAGTTAAAATTGTTATGAATGAAAGAAACTCCAATTATGGAGTGAAATGATACGAAGTTGTGTTTAGTGAGTTAAAGGTATTATTATGAATTTGATGGTTCAATCTCCCAACAGCAACGTCATCTCTACATTTCAAAATTACGAGTCTCTCGAAATCTCAAACATGTTAAAGACATGTGTTCTTGATTTCTTCTCTATTGTCCACAATTCTACGTTGGTGTGATAGTATATATAAAAATTGGTGTTATGAATGAACAACAAATATTTATAGRTGGAGTGAAATGAAAAAAACAACAAATCTTTTTTTCCCCTAGTTTCATCTGCAAAATCTTTTTTTTCCCCAAGCTTCATATTTCAAAAGGAAAAAAAATCGGAAAGAATACACAAATTTACTTGAAAACTTCATATTGAGAAACCAAGGAGCGGAGAGGAAAAATAATATGATAATCATATATCAAATTTGTGGCGTCAGCTACAGCRGAGAGAGGGCGTCGATTCATGCTTACTCGACCTCGACCTCTACTGGATAAGGATGATTCCTCTTTCAGTTATATGATCTTTTATTATCATTTATATTCTGACTCGAATTCTCTTCTTCCCTTAGGTTCTCACACACTTACTAGTCTCTTCCCTTAGGCCTTATCTTCTTTGGAATAAGCAAATTGTATGTTGGAGGTCGCCTGGCGTGAGTTTGAAGCTGAGAAGAGAAGATCTCAAGCCAAGATGGTTGATCTCAAAATGAGGCTTGATGAGACGGACTCAACTTTTCAACTCTRAATTCTTAGCGAAGGAGTTCAAGAAAATTGCTGAGTATGCCAATCTTCAAAATGTCTCCATGGAATGTGGCGTTTTTTGGTCACTTCGACAGCTTTCAAACGAGCAGCTCGAGATGGACTACTCCTTTTTTTTTTTTTCATGAACGCTTTGAGGCTGAGTGTAACGCAAGTGATGACATGGACGATGAATAATTGTTTGCCATCTTTTTAAATGTTGGTTCTGATTTAATTAGGACCATTTACTTAGACTTATTTTGAAATCAAAGATCTAAGCTTGGCTTTCTTTTCAGTAGTACTTTTTTTCAGTTGTCTCAATCAAGCTTCAATGGAATATTTTTCAAATTTAATATCATTTGTTATAATTAGTTTTTAATCAAGTCTCTTAGGCTCCACTAATAGAATTAAATTCGTTAGTTTGATTGCTCTTGGGTCTTACTTGCTGGGCTCATCCACTTGCCCTTTTTAGAACCTTTGGACTCATTCGCCACTGGCCTTTTATACCCATAGTTTTTTTTTTCTAACTTAGCCTATTTACCTGCTTTTAGTTTAAACTGGTTGGACTTATTTGCTTGCATTTTTCAGCACCCTTCGGCTTTAAACATTTGGGCTTTATTTGTCATTGGTCTTATATAACTCTGGTTTCACTAACTAGCTTAGCATGTGTTGCCTGCTTTTAGTCTTACACTCTTTCGAGTTCCTTAACCAATTTATCGTTGATTTATCTTATTGATACTTAGCCGCTTGAGGAGTTAGTATTTTTATATATATAAAAAAAAGATCAATAAAAAGATAACTGCTCGAGTATTGTGCAACAAAATTACTCAATTATTAAATACTAAAACAGAACCAAAATCTAGATGATAAATTACAATACCAAAKATCTAAATCTAACCTAACCAGAAGCGAAACAATCAAACTGCAAATCAAAGATCTATCCTAACCAAAATATCAATTGACAAACTATAAAAAGAACCTAGCTAATGTTTGTGAAGATTAAGCACTTAAACTGCGATCATTTAGCCTTCTTGCCTTTTAGAGTAGTGGAGTAGCATTCCAACAACACTCATTGTTCTCCTTTGACTTCTCCTACCCCACCTAGTGCTGAAAACTTCATTGACTAGTGGTACGTGGAGGGTATTGCCTTCATTTTGTATATAGTAAGTCTATCCAATATCACATTATATGACGAAGCGTAGTCGACAGCAAGGAATTCAACCATCCTTGTAACACTTCTCAATCCTTCGCCAAATGTGGAGTTCTATGCTTCCTTCAARGATAACATGTTCTCCTTTGAACTTGACAAGCGGTGTTGGATTGCTCTTTAACTTCCCTTCACCTAACCCTAATGCCTCTTACACRCTTAAGGATAGCAAATCTGTCGAATTACTATTGACTATCAGAATTCGATGAACTTTGACATTCAACATCATTAGAATGATGAYTAAAGGGTTTTTCACTTCACCATCTGAAAACTCAAATTTGGGTGTTTGTTCAGCTAGATGGATTTGGTAGGTTTTATGGGCTCCTGGATCAGCCTTAACTTTCCTAACATATGCCTTTCATCTCTTCTAGCCAATTATTTTCCTACACCTCCAAATATCATCTGTATTTCCATGGGATGGGATTTATCATCTGGACCATCAATCGGGCCTGCTTTCGTGAACTCTTTGAGGTATCCCCGTCGAATTAGATCTTCGATTTCTTCTTTAAGGTTGTAGCAACTTTGTGTTTAATGGTCGTAATCATGATGAAAGAGAAAGTATTTACCGTTATTCCACGACGCTTCCATCATTTCAGGTTATTTGAGTAGCTTTTTATCCCTAATTTCCATATGGTCCTGCTCAAGTTGCACAATTGTCAGGGTGTACTTTTCAAACTTCTTCAGAGGGGATCCTACTGACCCGATTATTCTTATGCATTGTTTGTCTTCCTCCACTTCGTCCCAAATTACTTTTCTCTAGACCTCTCTGTTTTTTCGATATAGTTCGTCTAGCCATGCCTCTCGTTGGAATCTTGCTTTGAGTGGGTAGTTCCCTCGCACTCATGTACTTTTGAGCCTAACTTGATGCCTCAACGAGAGTGGTAGGGTTTTTTTCTCCGAAAGGCCATAACTACTTTTCATCTTTCACACTTGACATGAAGGCAAGAAATGATACCCCATCAGTAAGTCCATGACTTMGCAACTTCTCTTCATTAAATCGTGCTACGTATTCTTTRAGGCCTTCTAAGGACTTCTATTTTATAGTGAGGAGGTATGCCACTAGTCGGCTTCGATTCCGCCCTCGAATGAATTGCATGACAAATGCTCTCGCTAGTGCTTTAAAAGACGAGATCAATTTTATTTGTTGTTGTTGAAACCAGATTTAGGTGGACCATATCAATGTAAAAGAGAACATCCTKCATCTAATAGCCTCGACCACTATGTAGATGTTCATCTACTCCTTGTACACATCAAGATGGTCAATAGAATCTATCAAGCCGTCATACTATTTGATGGCTGAAAGTTTAAAATTTTGGTGGAATTTCTTTCTCTATGATCCCTGTTGCAAACAGCTGAGTTCACTTATTCCACCATCTCCTCTAGATCGCATCCCTTGTTATCGCAACATTTTACTACATCTCGGTATTTGTCTCTTTCCTCAAGATTGTTAGGCTACGATATTTTTGGCTTGTCAGCACGGGTTTTCTTGAGATCTTGTCGACTATATCAGTTGCTTTTACCCTTGCATTGCGTCACGTACCTCTGTCGCTTCTCACTTATCGGACCCAATTGACTGAAGATTTCGTCACGCGGCTTCTCGTTTTCGCCCATCTTTAGGTTTCTTGGATTTAGTAGGTTAGTCGTGGAATCAACAAAATCACAAATCATCGAGGCCTTGCCTTTTCGAGAATCTCGGACCAATATGGATTGTCTTGAATCCTRCTGTTATCATTTAGGACGAGAGATAAGTTTTGATGCATTTCTTCAACTCTCTCATCCAGAGCAACTAACKTGTCYCCTTGTTGCTTTCATTCCTCGACATGTTGTTCTTCCCGTTCTAAAATTCGTCGACTCGTTTTACTTGAAGAAATCCCCTTGTTGCTTTCATTCCTCGACATGTTGTTCTTCCCGTTCTAAAATTCGTCGACTCGTTTTACTTGGAATTTCTTCAGGTAAGACAAGCTCTTGGTTCACCCTCCTTCTCTGAGCCCTCCCTCTCATTCTGCTGATGGATATTTCTTGAATTCATGTTGATCATTTTGGCTTTCGGACTTTAGTCGTTTCCTACAAATGGCGCTAAATGTTGATGTAGAAATTTTACTTTTGATCTGTTGACTAAATATTGCACCACAGGGACTCGACGTTGACTTGTAAAAAAAAGAATACTAAACACCGGTGTGGTGCTAGCCACAGTTAGAATCGTAGCTTGAAAGTTTGTATTGTTAAGTGTAGGGCTTTTTTTTTTTTTTGCCTTTAGGGTTAAGCCTTATCTTCTATTTATAGGGGTTGAATCTTTATATTCTTAGGAAACCTATTTCCCTTGGCTTCAATGTMGATATTGTTGTGGGCTGGATGTCGAGCGAAAAATGTCATTGGCCCATTATGGAATCGTACYAACTCGAGATGGGTTTTGGACCCATCGTCATAGAACGTCGGACGGCCACGATCTTGGTAGGTCGAGCTTTAACCCCTAATGGGCCAAGAACTGGTCGTTCGTGGTCTTGGTCGGTCAGGCTTCGGCCCCTAGTGGGTCGAGCCTAGTACTTCTGTTGGACTTATGGATTTCGACCTTTCTCATCCTCTTTTCTAATTTGGGTATGTATCTATTCTGTAGCTTACGTGTCAAGTTTGATTTTATATATCAAGAACAATATGCATTGTATTTCTATGTGTTGTTTGTAACTTTGAAATTCCTTGAATAAATGTTGTAATTTTTATTTTTACTTTTTTGGTAAATTTATTTTTTTTTTTCTAATTTCTATATTTCAATTTGGAAATTTGCTTTTCAATGATAGAAGGTCTAATAGTTAAAATATCAATATTCTAAAGTTGTTAATAGGATCAGTATTTTAGAGGACCAAGATGCATTCTAATATTATTCCCTAAAAGTACCAATATTTTTCTTTGTTCTACAAAAATAGCTATGCTTGTTGCTTYAGATGAACAAAGATGTGACAAAGCTAGGCAATGAAGACCAAGACCCTCTAGATATCGCTTGAAGATTGCGTGACAAAATATCTGAAATCTTAATGAAAGACTGTTTAGCTTCCTCCTTGTAATTCTCTAGTGACTTTATCTAAAAAAATAATAAGAAAAATAGCATAAGAAAAATCGGCAATCGTTCCTTGACCAAGCTAGTGTGGTGGTACTAATACCTTTCCCATACACAAAAAGCTCTCAGATCCAAAACTTTTATTCGTTTATTAATC